AAACAAGTTATTGTGATGTGCTTTTTCTTGTAATTGACTAAATAAGTAATTGATATCAATAATGCGTCGTCCTGTTACTGGTTGGAACTTGTCTTCTTGAATTTCAGATTCAACAATAAGGGAATCATCTTCGTCTGTTCCAGTTGTCCTTTCAAACTTGTCTTCTTGATTTTCAGCATCAACGATAAGGGTATCTTCGTCATTTCTAGTTTTCCTGCAACAATGGAAAGTCATTAAAGTAATGAAAGGGATTCGGTTTAAAATAATTGAAATAAACTTTAACAAAAAATCATTCACTGCCATGTTCCATCCTATAATATATACATAACACACATGATAGAAAGAAAGCTGAAGCACGACGCGAGGTAACAGCAAACTTGTAGTGGACAGGTAAAACTGCTCCACCCTAGGTATACTGTGTAATATGTATATAACTAGCTTTCCGCCTGCAGCTTCGCCCGCGTGGACTACACGTTATATCGCACCCATGTCCATCAGTGGAATAAAGGGTGGCCTAAGTAGTTTTATCCCAGATAAAAGGTATCCTATGTCCTTCTCCAATGTCTAATCTACCTCTGTACCAAATTTCATCAAAATCGGTCCAGCGGTGTAGGCGTGAAAGCGTAACAGACAGACAGACAGAGTTATTTTCGCATTTATAATATAGTAGGTATTATAATTATCCTTCCTTTACACCTTTTTATATCGATCATCCCCACGCCCACGCCCAGCAGCGGTCTGCTGGGCGTGGGCGACATAGGATACCTTTTATCCCAGATAAAAGGTATCTTATGTTCTTCTCCAATGTCTAATATACCTCTGTACCAAATTTCATCAAAATCGGTCCGGCGGTGTAGGCGTGAAAGCGTAACAGACAGACCGAGTTACTTTCGCATTTATAATATTAGTAGGGAAGTAGGGATATACTTACGCATACTGCCCCTCTTTAGAGTGCCCATCGGTACTTTTTTTAGACATCAAAGTTCCTTTTTCGGTACGAGGTCTCCGAGCACTGGAATGGAATAAATTTCATAACAAAATTTCAAAAAACCAAAAATAAAAACAAATTAACTTGAGTTACTATGTAAAAATATAGGTGAATGTTTCTATTACGGATATTAAGGATTTAAAATTCTAGTCATACTGATTTTGCAAGTCTGTGTAGAGAAGGACAATTTATGTAGTAAATTATATTATTATTGTTACGAATCAACATAATGAGTACTTAGTGGAACATTAGAAAATCAATATAAAAGTTGTCATACTGATTTAGCTGGTCTGTGTCCCTTTTAAAGTAGATATCTAATGTATTTTTGTTTTGAAATGACCTGTTGATTCTGCGCTAGTTTATAGATAATAAGTAGGTACTTACGCAATACACTTTCGGATTTTCTTCACTTCAGATAGCCTTTTTTTCTTAATTTTGTTTTTTTTATTCGCCATTTTAACTAACAAACTGAAAGTATCTATATCAGTTTAAAAAATGAGTAAGCAGGTACTACTACGAGCGCGGCGACGACAATGTGGTCGCGAGCAAAAAAATAGCATAGGTCCACCCTAGACGACGTCCGGCTGGACACTGGCGGCACTGGCGCGGCGCGCGCGAGCCGTTTTTCACGTATATGATTTATATAGAAAAAAATAAAAGTTATATTGTAAATCTATCCAATAATATCCCTGTCAAACCCGCTTAGTAAATGAGATGTTAAATTTCATAAAAATTGCGTTGACCCAAGTCTCATACAACTTAAAATACTTTCAAAATCGATGTCACATCGGATTTTTTTTTTATCGAGTAAAATGTTAAATATTGTGTTTTTATCCAAAAAAGTCACTAGTTCAAACGTGTATCTGTACTATATATTTTTTTCAGAATTTAAATATGATGTTTTCTCTGAAAACAACTCGATCTAGAAACATGAATTTCGGAAAAGGGGCCCTTAAGAGGCGTCGTTTTGAACAATGACTCCATACTTGTGTCTGATGACATTTCTAAAAGAGATTCATATATCTCATTTGACATGTTTTCAGGCTTTTCCAAGTTGGGTAAAAAAGGATTATGAATCCAGGAGTTCACTTTAATTTTTGTATTGTGTTCTTCGGGAAAATACTTTTCAAAAGATGCGCGCATCGAACTGAGATATTGGACCAATTCTTCAAACACATTATCTTCAAACATTTCTGAGTCGTTTTCGCTAACAAACTCAGTGAGTAACGTAAAACTTTCTATTTCTTTCTTACCAATGCAAATGATCCAAAAATCTAATTTTCTTTTAAAAGTAGTTATTTTATTATAGGCCTGAAACACTGTTGTCTGTTTACCTTGCAATGATAAATTTAATTCGTTAAGTTTTTGAAAGATATCCGCCATAAAAGACAATCGGAACAACCAAGTTTTATCATACAAACGGTCCTTCAAATTAAAAGAAGTATCTGCTGAAAGAAACATTTGTAACTCGGCTCTAAGTTCAAATAGCCTTGTTAAAGTTTTTCCCCGAGACAGCCATCGCACTTCTGTATGGAGCAGCAGTGTTTTATGTTTGCTGCCATAATCTTCACACAATAATGAGAACAATCGGGATTGTAGTGGTCGTGATTTGATAAAATTAATTATTTTTACCGCTTCATCCATAACTAATTTTAGATTAGACGGCATTTGCTTCATCGCAAGTGCTTGTCTATGCAGAATACAATGACTGGAACTACAATTAGGCGCTTTATTTTTCATTCGTGACACTGCTCCTGCTGTTTTACCTGTCATCGCCTTGGCCCCATCTGTACAAATGTCAATGCAATTGTTCCAACTGAGATTATGTTCTTCAAAAAATATATTTATTTTATTAAAAATTTCTTCCCCGGTAGTGTTTGTAAGCAGCGATGAACACATAAGCATGTCTTCTTCAAAAGAACTTTTATATGGATATCTCACAATAACCAGCAGGATAGCCAAACCAGCGACATCAGTCGACTCGTCCATTTGCAAAGCGAATCGTGTATTTTGTAGACGTGTAACTAGTTCTTGTTTGACGTAGCTTGCCAGATCATGGATTCGTCGTGAAACAGTATCGTTTGATAGCGGAACAGTAGAAAGATGCTTTGCAGATTTTTCATCAAGCATACATTTTGTTATGTCTAATACACATGGTTTTATTAATTTCTCAGCGATAGTGTGCGCTTCACCTGCTTGTGCAATGCGATAGCTAACTAAGTATGATGCCTCCGTGGCCTTTTCGTTGGTAGTTTGTGTTACATGCATCATATTTTTTTGACTTTCTAATAACTGATCTTTTTTGCGAACAAAAAATTCTTTATTCTTGTCTTTAGTCTCGGGGTGTACGGTTTCTAAATGTCGACGCAATTTGGCAGGTGCCATGGAACTATTAGGAAGCAGTTTACTACAGAGCATGCAGAGAGGTGAGCCGTTGGAATCAACAAATCCGAAACTGATATAAGATTCATCATACTTCCTTTTTTTCGTCTTTGAAACCGTCGAGCTTGACGTCGTGGCACTCGTGGCATCATCTTCTGGATCGGTGATTGCTAAATTCTCCGCGCGCATTGCTTTTGAACATTCAGCGTCATTAGAAGATGTTGTTGGAACACGTTTAACACCTTTAAGCCAACGTTCCATTCTTCTTTATTTATAATGTTACAAGTCAGGATAGTGGGGTTTAAATAATGCACAATCGTTACTGCGTATAAGAGACTAAATTTAGAACCTACAGGGAAGAAATGTATAAAACTGAGACAACAGAATACAGCAGGCAGTAAAACAATGAACACCAGTTTCTCGCTAGCGAGCTTGTAAGTAGGTAGTAACTTATCGCTCCGAACGCTAATCATCAACTGACGACGCCAACGCGCGATCGCCGCTTTTATACTTAGTCCTAGACTCGATCTCAAATATTCTCGAAAATACTCGAGTCGGCACCTTTGATAAACAAAAAGCAAAAATAAAAACAGAAATTTAAAAATAGCGTTGTAAACAATATCGACTTTATCCTTTGAAGTTAGAGACGAAAGTCGCTAGTTGACAACTATAGCGTCTAATTCAGAGGCGGCTTTTATCAAAGAGACTGAGCGCTTACAAGTATACTACCCGCTCGTTTTAAGTTTGCCGCTGGCGATAGGTATGAGTGTATGACGTTCGAAATTTTTTATTTAATTGTAACAATAAAAATTGTGTACGTTAGATATTTGGGTAAAACTATGACACATTATAAGTTTTGTTGTCACGTGGGGGAGGGTACGCGCATTCCACAGACCGGCAAACTTAGAGCGAACGCGTTGTACAAGTATAAAATTGTTGAGACCAAACTTATGAGATATTGTACCAGCTAATGTAACACAAGCTTATACAAATACAAATAAATAAATAAATAACATTCATAGCGTTTTGTCTCCGCGCGGCCGCGGAGTCCGCACAGCCGCGGAGCGACCAGAGAGAGGTGTTTTGATTTTTTTATTTCTAAATTCTTGCGGAACCCCGACAGAGGTATCACGGAACCCTAGGGTTCCGCGGAACACACTTAGAGTATAGCTGCATTAGACTAACAAGGATAAAATCATTTAATTACTTGAGATCAATCCCGATAATGGGAAGAAAATACAGATACAACAGAAGAACAAGTGCAACATATATTATCGCCGATGTATAAAGTCCAACTTTCTTAATTCTTAAAGAAAGCAAACCTTTCTTGATAGCCCTTGACGGTCATACTGTTTGACCTAACACTAAAGGCTCGGGTAACGGCCGTAGCGGCGAAGCAGCTGACGGGGTCAGTGGCACGGGCAAGGGTGGCGTGTACTCGCGCGCAACAGCGGTAGTCGCTTCAACGGCGGCGGCGGCGGCGGCGGCGGGTGAGCAGCTGACAGGGTCAAGGCTGACAAGGGCGAGGAGCAGAGCCTCTAGCTCTGCGGCAGGGCTGCTTGAAGACGCAGCGGGCTCGGCTTCGTTTGCTGTCCAACCGCCGTAAAGTTTGAATCGCACTATAACATACCTGCAAGAGGTCTTGATACCCGTTGACACTCATGCTTTCTGACACTTCAGGCTCAGGTAGCGGCGGCGGCGGCGGTGGCGGCGGAGCAGCTGACGGTGTCAATGACACGGGCGAAGGAGGCGGGGTGGGAGTGCTCGCGCGCAGCAGCGGCAGTCGCTCCAACCGCGAGGTAACTCGCTCCAATCGCTCGATCAGAGCCTCTAGCTCTGCGGCAGGGCTGCTCGTAGACGCAGCGGGCTCGGCTTCGTTTGCTTTCAACAAGATAATGAAGATATCAATACTAAATAGTTTGTAAATACCAAAGAATAAGATAATCAAGTATAACCGAAACGCAAAAAAGTAGAATCAATAGGGATGATGACGGGGTAAAGTAAACGGAATTTTATTTATTCCGACAGTTATATTATCAAAAATCCGGCCTAGGGAGAGTCGGACTCGCGCACCGAGGGTTCCGTACAAACCTGTAGGTATATTTTAAAAATTATTAAAAAAAATATTATATGATGTAACTATAAAATTTAGGGTTTTCACAATTTTTCCTTTATCTATACTATAAGACGTTACATCGTACCAAATTTCAAGATTCTAAATTCACGGGAAGAGTACCCTGTAGGTTTTGATTCCCATTCGAGTTTCGAAAATTTGCGGCATAAACGGCTGTATCTTTTGATTTCTTTGGCTTAGAAATTTGATTTTTTCACAGCTCCAAGGGACAGTAGACCTGAGTATTAGTAATGAATTTCAGTTTGATACCTCCACGAGCTCCTGAAAAAACGGTCTTGATAGATGGACGGACGGACAACAAAGTGATCATATAAGGGTTCCGATTTTTTCTTTTGAGGTACAGAACCCTAAAAATAATGGACACTTATTTTTTATTTTGTCAATGTATTAAAAATCACAAAGATAAAGCGCGTCAACGTTTGGGAGTGGGGGGTTCGTGACGTCACTTCTATGTAAAAATTGTACCAAGACGTGAAGTGATGTGACATTTCAAATCAAAATCAAAAAAATATCTCTGTTATATTTTGATTAGGTACTTATGTGAACAATGAAAAAATACGTGTTTAAAACTTTTTAATAATCTACCTGATGGACGAAGAAAATAAGTTAGGTCAACAAGCAAGAAAGAAACTAATTTTATAGAAATATCCGTTTCAATCATCAACTTATTTTTAAACTAATTACCTACCTAATTAATAATATTAGGGTAAAGTTTTATTATTCAATTTTACTCTCGTTAAATGTAATTAAATTAGTTTATCCCAACTACTTTTCAGTAATATAAATAACTTATTAACTTTTAATAATAACAAGTGCGTCTTACTTCTATATGATCAATCTAATTCTTATAAAACACTAGCGGCCGCCCGCGACTTCGTACGCGTAGAGTTATTCGTTGTTACAGAATGCGTTGAAGAAATAAAGGTTCACTTTTCGTTCCCCGTAGGTGATAGCAAGATAATATGTAGCCGATATGTGGACCCGACTTCTTAATAATATTCGTGCCAAATTTGAAGTAAATCCATGCAGTACTTTTCGAGTTTATCCCGGACATACATACAGACAAACTGACAATAATTCTAAAAACTATATTTTTGGCTTCGGTATCGATTGTAGATCACATCCCAAGCATTCTTTAAAAAAAAAACAATGTACAGTTTTTAATTTCCTACTATTTTACTATATGTAGAGAAAGGCACCTACTACATGTTTGCTAATTCAGCTGTCAGGTCATCATGTATTAAAATTCACTCAATATTCAGCTCTATTTGACGCCTGACCTCAGCTCCCTTCCCTAAAGGGACGCATAACATAAAGGTGTGACCCAAAGCAATATTGTTTAATTAAATAAATTACTAGCAATACTTGTCGGTACTGCTACCGATCATTATCTAATATTAGAAATAAAATTTTGGTTAATCATATTATTACAAAACAAATAAGTAGTTGAAAAGTAGAAGCGTAAATTAAAAGGAATTGTACAGCAAAAAAACACACTGGCTCCTAAAGGAGATTGCTCAAATTGGCCCAAATGCACAAAAAATATTGACATGCACGGTAATTCTTGACGTAATTTATAATTTAATTTACAGTCATTAGATTTCAACGGACATCTTTGTATAATATATTTACTTTAAAAAGGACTTTTAATTTTACCGGTTTGGAAAACATGCGAATCATTTTTAATGGCTATGGGTGTAGTAACATTCAGCCAAAGACTGATCGAAGTTGTTTATATTTATAACATAAAAACAAATCTATTTTGTAAAGATCGGTGAAAAAAAAATATTTTTTATTACACTGTGGTATTAATATCCACAACTATATTATCATTTTCACTAGATGCAAATGTGATCAGACAATTATTATAGATGGTAGGCGACATTATAAAGTCTATTGCCATACATTTTTCGCCAAACACCTCCATAAACACATTATAATCTTGAATTTAAATCACACCTTATAATAAAATTATAAGGTGTGATACACTAAAAATCTAAAATATGGTTATCTTAAAAACATAACAAAAATAATGAAGCTACTGAATATATGGCTATAGAACCTAAATCTCTTAGCTTTCTTTGGTTAACGAGAGTTTAAAAATTCTCTCTAATCTGTGGCTCATTCAAAATCATCACACAGTTTCTGTCACAGAGTACCTTATTATAACCGGAAATGACACCTGATTTTAAAAGTTACTCTTATGCATTAACTTTAAAAACAGGCAACTATCTGTTAATCTACATGCTCTATATACCTGAATCTAATCCATAATTTCGGTACTTGGCTTGATTTATAGTTTTAGTTTACTATATAACCTATTTGTTTTTATTATTTTAATATGTTCAGTGTATATGGTTTATAGAAGTTCTCAGAGGTGTCCGTCAATAATATTCGTTTCTACAGTAATTTATATATAATTTCGAATCTAGGAAACAATTTTTCATGATGATTGGTCTTTAGGCCAAACATGTATGGAAGCTGAGCAATCTCCTTTAGGCCCATTTACTCCAAAGTTTAAAAAAAAATGTTAAAAAGTATTTCAAAGCAATAGGATGAGGTCAATAGACTCCAATCAGTTTACAAAAATAAGGGTGATGTGATGTATTCGTTAGACTGTACGTGTCACTTTAGTACAAACTTTATATGAGTTAACAGACTAAAAACCATTTAGTCTCGGTAAAGTCCAAGTCCTATAGAGCAGCTGCCTTCTGGTCTGTAGCCGATGACAACGGAAATAAATAAATAAATATTTCCAACACTCACACCAATTAGCCTAACAACAAAGTAAGGCTTGTGTTATGGGATGCTAGGGTAACGGATAGAATACGTATACTGTACATATATAAGTATATTTATATATCAAACATCCATGGCTGGAGTACAAATGCTCGTATTCATCACACAAACATCAGCCCCCACCGGGATTCGAACCCGGGACCTCTCGAGTCGGCGACACCATGAAACCCGGCGTACAAACCACTCGGACACCGAGGTCGTCAATTAAATAGCATTCTAGGTTATCTAATTGGGTTTACATAAACAACAACAACGCTCTGTCACTATACGTAGAATTAGGTGATGTAAAAAATAAAGCGACCATTTTATCAAAAGCCTCGTGACTAAGATATTATTGACTTTACCGGGAACTACACCGTCACTATTTGACTCAGCCTCCACTGTTATTACCGCATCCTCCAAATCCGTCAAATTCGTGCGTGCTTCAAATATCTTTATGAGCTGCTTTATCTCATTAGGCTCCATGGTTTTGTATAATAAACACTATTTCTCTTGATAAAATCACTATAGAATTACACAGAACAAGACAAGGGTCTACGAAACCTGACAATAAACTGATTGGACATTTATTATCTATTCCATTACTAAAGATACGATGCGATAAGAAATATTGTTTTAAGGCGGCTTACCAATCTAGTAACTGTCAGATAAACAAATATAAGTTAACAAATAATGTTTGTGTGTTATTTTTCTCTCTATATTACCTTAACTGTCATCTCTTAATCTCATTAAGAGAGGATACGTATATACTTTAATGAAGTATTATTCAAACAGAACAATATTTTCTTCGTGTTTTGTTTAGTAAAGTAAAGGATATTTTTTTATCTAATATATAAAATTCTCGTGTCGCGGTGTTTGTGGTTAAACTCCTCCGAAACGGCTCGACCGATTTTGGTGAAATTTTATATGCATATTCAGTAGGTCTGAGAATCCCACAACATCTATTTTTCATCCCCCTAAATGTTAAGGGTAATCCACCCCTAATTTTTTTTTTTTAATTTTAGATTAATTTTTATTTTTTAATTTTTTATGATACATCATACAAAAATAAATATAACCCAAAATTTTCGCCCTTCTACCACCAACCTCTTTTTTATGGCGGTACGAAGTTCGCTGGGACAGCTAGTACATATTATAATATACGTCATACATATTATGAAAGGCCCGGTTCCATCACTGTCTAAATATTTGAACGGCTTCATAACACAAATAAATATTTATCACCTTTCCACTTCGACTATAACAAATCTCATCAAAAGATATTTCTATCTGGATATATTCTGCAAACAATATAAGTAGATAGTGCGTTGTAGCATAATAAAAGTTAATACTTAGCTCTTGTCTGATGATTGCTGCAAATAAGAAGACAAAACAGGCTCATATGGATATCGTAAAATAGTCTATATACGATAACTTATAAAACTATTCTATACTGTTTTTATTTTCGATTTTTGTCTAAACAAATTTAGTATTTAGCTACTAAACTTCTGGGAGCGAAGGAGTTCAAGTCATGTCATACATTTATTTCTAACTGAAACTAAGTTAATTAAAAAATGTGAGAATCGACGTACGTCAACGGGGTGATGGCAATATTCTTTAATTTTATTTTAACATCTGGCATGAAAAGTGTTATCATTTATTAAAGAAACATTTTCTAGTTTAAAGAAATATACTCATATTGACTGAATGATTTGATAAAAACAGTTATTACGTGCTAGCATTATGATTATGATGTAGTAGCATTATGATGTGCATAGTATCAATTAAATACAAAAATAGCATTGTTTCGGTTGCTTTTGTCCAAAACAAAGCATGACATAAAATGTAATCACTGTTCCTTACAGGTCACAAACAGTTGAATGTCTTGCCATAAACTAAGGATCTGGAAATTTGATGAGTGCTGAGAATAATGGCTCAGTGGCGCATAATTTCGGCAATGAGATGTTTATTTCACTGGATAAGCCAGTATTAAATAAACATTACAAATCGGTTTCAGAATAATTTTATGGAATGTGACTTTACGAGAATGAAATTGATTAGAGCATTTACAGATGTAAAGTGAAGAGAGCACAGCGGATTTTCAGACGATTCTTGTCTTATAATGTCCCCACATTATAAGACAAAAATGATAGTCTAATAGTTGTCTTAAATTAAGTGTTTCGTAACGAATTTTTCATTCAACCGTTTGCATAAACTGAGGATAAGGAAAAACCATTCCGCCAAGCCGAAAAACAGTAAAGAGACAGCGAAAACTGTAACCTTCCTAATGAATATATTATTTTAATAAATATTGAAGTCGACGAGAACCATAAAGTCAAAATTTCTCCCAAACAAAGGTGCAATTAAGTTACTTTATATCTCCGATGTTCAATAGGTAACCTTTACATTAACTAGGTATTTTAACTGTCTCGTCTACATAAATAAGAAAGGTATATTAATAACCAAGCATGACAATACAAAAAGAAATGAAACAAGTGCGAGTTGGACTCGTCCACCGAGGGTTCCGTACAAATTTGTAGGTCGCAACATTAACAATCAAACTTAAAAAAAGTTGAAGTTTTAATTGTTCACGGCTTCAAGGGACCGTTGATCGGATTATTTGGTTTTCATTTTAACTCGATACTTCCATGCGTTGCCTAGATAAAGGGTCTATTTTTTCTATTACAGTACGGAACCCTTTTAAAATATAATATTACATACCTATCTGAGCATCACATATACCCTACTAATAAACATGCCAGAAAATCCTCTTTAGAGGACACAAAGGCTATAAAAAACAAAACCCTATAAAATATTACCGCTCCAATGGAGCACTAAAAACAAGTTGATTTATTATGCGGCTTAGTAGCGAAGTTCACCTAGAGCTAAACTTCTAAATAACATGAGTCTAGTTTATTATTCATAAAATATCAGTAAGTAGAGTACCTAGTTAAGTAAGCCTTAAAACGTCTGTTAATTAAAAAGATGCGAAGATTAAGTAGGTAAGATATAATGAACCTGATTCTGGCATAATTTTCTAAACCATACTTATACTATTATACTAAGGCATACTTTTTCCAAACTTTAAAATTAAGTTTGGAAAAAGTATGCCCTTATATAGAGATGGAACAGAAGAGACCACTGTCAAATTTAAGTTTAGTGAATCGTGCTAAAGAATTAATTAAGCTGTCAAATTTAAGTTTAGTGAATCGTAAAAATAACTGTTACGTTTTACACCTTAACCGTTGGAGCGATTCGATAAATATGGTATAGCGAATGACTGAACCTTTATAAGAAGAAAAGTCTCGAGTCACTCACGATTCGCATCCTCCTTTAACATACGAACCCCAAAGGAATGGAACTCCCTTCCTGCGTCTGTATTCCCCGAAACGTATAATATAGGGACCTTCAAGACAAGGGAAAATAGGCATTATTTGAGCTTGCGTGCTCCAGCTTAGACCACATCGTTGCTTAACTTCAGGTGTGGGATTGTGTGTGAAAAAAGTCATATACAGATAAAATTATGTGGGTACACGAAACCATATTATTATATGCAGTAGAAGTCGCATCAGAAACATACAGAACATTTTCTTTAGTGCGATATCCGATTGTAATAGCTTATATTTTCCGGGGTACAACCCGATTAACCGACTATTATATCGCAATCTGAAACCCAGCTGGGTCTGTTCTACACCCTTGTTTATAAGCCACTGTACTATGCGAATGCTGATGGGCATTTGAGCAATCCTCTAATCGCTGTAAAAATTAAGTCTTCCGGGTTTAAATCTAAGTTTAAAGATGGCAAAAGCGATTCGTATACAAAAACGCCATTAAGATGTAAATTGGTAGTACAAGCTTGCAAATGAGATAAAAAATTACAAAGAGGAATTAAATAAATTCTAATATAATGAGCGCAAATAGAGAGTTTGACTAACTTGGATGTCGAGTAGGCAGGGTATTTAAAGCATTAGTGATAAATTCGCTTCAGGCGATCCAAAAAGCTTTTTTCAACCCTTTTACATAAAAACACCTATCTAATTTTGCTTACAAGCCAAAACACACAGAGCGGAGGCGGTTTTTTTCTATAGTTCGAATTAGTATGAAAGATATATTGTTTAAACTTTCATGGTCACTAACATTATAGTAATATATGCTGTTATTTACGGAATTGTAGAAAAACAAGGTACACGGGTACCTTGTTTTTAGCGAGTTTTCGATATTACGATTGTAAAAGTGTATGGTGTGACTTCAGACAGAGCGGTGGCGGCGCATGGCGGCGCGGTGGCGGCGCGTTGCGGTGTAGAGGCGTGCTACTAGCGGTTTATTCAGTTGTATTTTTTTACAAAATTGTTCATCGAATATGCGATATTTACAATGAATTTTAAACTCATGAGACATTTTTGTAAACTTTCTCCACAAAACACGCGAGTCAACACACAGAAGGCACAGAACCGCCGCCGCTCCGGAACGTCTGGCAGTGTGTAAACACCCGCAACGCGACCGCCACGCCTGACACGGTTCACGACCGCCCCACTGCTCCGCCTCCGGCTTTAGTGTGTTTCGGCCTTACATGTTGATGTAATTAAAATAAGTTTTATTTGCGATATTAAACATTACTTACCTACTACCGAAAAAAATAAGGTATTAAGTTTTTTAGTAATGGGTGTCAAGTATAGAAAAATGAAAGCTCGCAGCCACAACAAGACCACAACACAAAAAATAGACGAGTATCTGTCCAGACCAGAATATCGACTTTCCCTAAGTATTAGAACAGCTTTTTCTTAGAATAATAACACGTTATCATTTTACTACTACTATTAAGAAAACACAATAATGGCATGCGCAAACGAAGGACTTCAGTCCGCAAACTTGTTTTATCCGTCAAAATACTTAGATCGCTTACAACTGCATCCAGTAACGTACACGTACAAAGTCCACCGAAAAACCGAGGATGCCGAGAGACTGGAGAGGAAAAAAGTACGCGGGTGTCCCCGAAAAAAAAATATAACTCTGGCTGTGAAATAAAAATGTTTTAAAAAAAAATATTTATATGAAATTTAGGGTGCATATGAAAAATAATAACATACTTGTATATAAAGAAAATTTTAGTAGAAAAATATATTTCTAGTATTTTTTTTTTATTTAAATATCTAGCAATTAAATGCTACGAAGTATAAATACAATAAATCATATATATTTGTTTCTTAAGTTTTCACGAACACCACTCATTAAATTAAACACGTTCCGACCACCAAGATTCTCAAAAAGACAAGTGAACTTAAATCACTTTCCGAAACGTTAGATCTCGACATCAACTTTCTTAAGCGCGTATTCCACCTGACTAAATTCAGACGTTCTAAATCATTCAGTAACTAATTCAGTCAAGCATTTAGGAAGTTAGGATCCTAATTAGCATCTTACATCGGAAGAAGTGTGGCTTCTGACTGAGTAAGGCCCGTATTATAGAAAGATTCTCAGTGATTGATCTAGTCTTGAGCATAGTTAGAAATGGATGTCGCCAGGGCCGTCTTTAACCTATTGGAGGCCCTGGGCATATTAGGATAACGGGAACCTA